GGGCATTATGTAAAATTGTGGATGTGTAACCGACGTGATTCTGCAATCTGCATTTGGGGTAAGATTGGGAATTCATAACCCACTTCAATCTAATGTATGAAATATGATAGGTCAAGAGCTTTGTAATGTTGTGAACAACCAATAAAAAAAAAAGAAAAAGGGAATATAACCATTCCTAAGTAATTTTCCCAAGATATGGAAAAAGGGGTCCTATTCCTAGGCAGGAGCAGAAGCAGGTAGTGATCCTGAAAACAAATCCCCCATTGGCCCCTTAGATAGGCTCCCCGAGGCAGGTTGTATGGGATAGGGACATGACAGCCTGGGGCTTCCACTTTGACACCCTATTGGTCAATATGCTCAAATCCCCAAGGTGGCTTTCTTCCAGAATCTGAAAGTGCTCTGAGACCCATTGGAAAGGGCTAAATGGTGCAGTCTGAGTTTGCCTGAATAGACTGAGTTTACCCTCACTGGGGGAAAGAAAAGCAGAGATGGTACGGGCTGCCATAACTTCATGGGGTGCAGACGCTCAGACAAGGGCTAGGCAAGCAAGAAGGGCTGGTGTCAACAAAGAAGACATGGTACTAGGACCCAGTTCTCTGAAACTGGGGCTCTGGATTTAGGCCACTGGAACTTCTTGAGGATGGGAAGGACTCAGGCAGGCCTAGGGTGTATAGCTCTGCCTGGGGACTATCTAGGGAAAGGCATGAGGCTCCCAGGTCACCAAGGAGACCAGGAGATCTCAGGGACTGGATCAGTGGGATGGAGAGGGAGTAAAGGAGGGTGTTTAGTTCAACGAAGAGTTTGTGGGAAAAGAATGTGGAATTGGGTGGAATCTGATCTTTTTTTCAGTCATTGTTGGGATCTGTGAGGCAGGCTGGGAGACTGAAGGCCTCAAATTGGGTTGGGCTGGTTTCAAAGGTAGGGAAAGGGATGTGGGCATGAGAATGGGTGATAGACTACTAGCCCCAAGGATGTGGCTGAGGACATAACCTTTCAGAAGGAGTCTATAAAGTTGGCGAGTCTATGAAGATGGGGGAGGGAGGCGGGCAGGGCGACTCGGGAGTAGGCTGGGATTACAGAGCTCCAATAACCAGGGTTAGATGTGGGGTCCACAAAGGCAAAGATCAGAGGATGGGACGTGGTATTTAGGGGTTGGTGAGTCCCCAATCCGTGGGTGCAGGGCCAGGAGGGCAAGAGTTAGTGGCGATAGGGTCGGGTATGGGGTAGTGCAGACCCTAGAGGAAGGGGGTCTCAAGAGCGTGTTGGGACTAGAGAATTGTGAGGGGTGGGGTCGGGATGACAAAGGATATGGGGGCGGGGCCAAGAGAAAGGGGGTCGCCACCCGGGATGTGAACCTCGGTGCCCGCGGAGGCGCGAAGGGAACCAGACTGGAGCATGCCGAGAGGGGCTGGAGGATTGTGGGGACGGTGGGGTCGGGTCAGGAAGGTGGGTGGGCAAGCCTGGAACGCAGGGGCTCGTCTTGGGGGCGGGGCTAAAAAGACAGCAGAGAGGGAACCGGGTGGGGAACAGGGGTCGGGAGGGAGGACCCGGGCTCGCGGGGGCGGTGCCAGGGGCAGTGGGGGCGGTGCCGCGGCAGGGGGCGGGGCTGAGACGCCGACGCGGGCGGCGGAGCGCGGGGGCGGGTCCAGGTGAGCCGGGCCTCCGCCCCCTGCGCCCTCTCCGGGGTCCCTGGTGCGGGGTCGCCTGGGTGGGTCCCTTCCCAGCGCTGGCCCAGCTGTCGGCTGGACCCAGGCGGACCGTGTCTGGGCCCGGGCCGATTCTGGGTCTGGTCCTGGCTCCATCTTGGGCCGCTGCGCCGGGCACCTGTGGCAGTCGCAGGAGCAGCGCTTCCGCCGGCCTGCGGGGCCCCGGGCGGGCGAGAGGGTGAGAGGCCGGTTCATCGCGTGCCCATGGGGGTTAGTTGGGGAGGGGGCGCGGATAGGCGGCGCCTCTCACTTCCTGCGCCCCAGAACCCGCTCCTCACCTCTGCGTACACTCAGACCCTCGGCATCCTGGTCCCCCCCGAGTGCTCAGCGTCCCCCAGAGCCGCAACCCTCCCCGCATCTCGCCCATCCCATTTCCTTTTCTTCGATGTCTTCTTTCCATTTTTCCTTACTCTGACCAGGACCTGGCTCCCGTCGTTTCTTCCCTCATCCATTCCTTTTCTCGTCTATCCCCATCCCCCACCCTGCCCTTTTCCACTGCTAGCAGCCGTTCCCCCTCCTTTCTTGCCCCTTCTCTTCTCCTGCCTTGCATCCCCGCCCGTTAGCCCAAGGGCCCATTTCCCTTCAGTCTCTGCCTTTGTTCTGGGAAGGTCTGTAGTCTAGTTTCGGGCTGTGTGAGGTCCTTTTCGTTAAGAACCTCTGAGAGGTTTGCTTGTGAGGGTCGGGAAAGGGAGCCCCTGCTGGGTGAGGTTGTGTGTGTGTGTGTGTGTGTGGTGTGTTCAGGCCTTTGGCCTCCAGCAGGGTAGGCTGGGCTTGGCGAGCAGAGTGCAGCAGTATGGATGCTATTTCCTGTAGGCTTGCACTGCAAATGGGGCTGTGCCTTAGTCTCTGGTGTGTCAACGGTGGGGTGTGGGCCCATGCTGGGTCACAAGTGCAGTTGAATGTGCAAGTAGGAACACGCTGGCTATGTGGCTGTTTCTAGGCTGGTGTGACTTGTCCATGAGGCTCATCCTCTGGACCCCAGTGCCTCCCTGAGGATGGACAAATCCTCCACAGGGGAGGAAGCTCTAGGGCTACTGGGGTCCTGAATCTTTCTGGTGAGCAGTATGGCCCCCCTCTCTGTGATGGGCAGGTTTTGTTCCCTGCAAACACTCCTTTTCTGGAGTGCTTACTGCTGCCTTGCCCAGTTTTGGCCCAGTGTGTTCCTTCCTGTCAGACTCTTTTCCTTGGAGGAGGTTGCCACCCCCCCCCCCACCTAAACAATGAGGGATTTGTGGAGTGTGTATCCTTACCTGGTGTCTTAGGGTAAGTTCCGTATTTTAACATGTTACCAGTTTTTTTCTTCTGACCTTGTGGGATTGTTTTTCCCATGTGGTCTTGCTGGACCCAGAAATCATCACCCAAATGCCTGCTATTTAACAAGAGGGGACTTTATAAGTATATTACAGTATGGCCTTGGCAGTACTCCTGGGCAAACCCCAAAGGCTTGAACTCTTCTTGTGGGATGAGAATTGGAACCTTTGACCAAGTTGACCCATCAGTCTCTTTGGCTGGACTACTCTGGAAGTTCCTGCAGAACTGGGGGCATTTACTCTAAATGATGTTGACTGTTGCCTGCATGCGAGACTGGTTGATTCTCTAGTTGCTGACAAGCAGAACCTGAGGCAGCAGCAAAGTCCATCATTGGCCACAGGATATGGGCAACAGCTATCACAACTTTGGCATCAAATGGAGCAGGAAGAAGAACATTAAGGTATTATTCAAAGAACACTAGTGTTCTTGGATACCTTTATGTGCCTGTCCTTTATCTTGTGTTAAAACATCTTCCTATATGGTCTCTTGGGTGAAATTAGAATTTTTTTCATAGTTTTAAAGGCAGGGTATTCATGCTATTCAGGGCATGTGGCTTGCAGATACCAGACGTGTGTGTGTGTGTGTGTGTGTGTGTGTGTGTGTGTGTGTATGTGTATTCTCTATGATTAAGATTTGAAACAACCTTGGGAAATTTAGTATAGTGATGGAGACACTGGTGATGGCCAGATTCTAGAACAGAATGAAGGTATCAAGGATGAAGCAAGCCAAAGCTGACCTCTGGGATGTCTTGATGGCTTCCTTTCCGCCTCTCAGTACTAGTGCCTGCAATACCTTGAGCTCAAGCTGCTCATGATGGAGAATAAAGAAGATTATTATTATAGTCCATATGTTACTATATTTACTTTTCACAACAATCACACAGAATAGGAGTTTACTTCCATTTTGCAGATTTGAGAAACTGAGGCTCAAGGTTAAGTATCCACCTGAGGGCACACATGCAGGAGAGGAAAGTGTGTGGAAACAGAATCTTGCACCTTTTCCACCCTTGGCTCCCTGGTCCATTGGTCCAGCCCAAAGTGCCAGCATCAGAGAGCTTGGGAACCCTCCTCTCCTTGGGGGCAACCTGAAATAACTTCCTTGGAGCCTTCCCTCCCCCAAGGCTGAAAAGGCCAGGTTGTAGAAGGATATGCCTTGGCATTCTGAATTTGCCATTTTCATTTGTAGATTATTTGACATTTTTTAACTGTTCTACGGCTCAATTTTGTTACCTGCTACTTGTAGGGTGGTGGGATAGGGAAGGGTACCAATAGATGTATATATCCCCCCGCACACACATATACTGGGGTCTCTGTAGTCACTGACCTCTCTGTGAGATGACTAGCCTGAGCACTGGACAGCTGTCTGGTAAGGCAGGTACAGTAAGATTCTTATTCCTGATGACTTTTCACTTGGTCTTGGAGCCTAAGGGTGTCTCCAGTCTTGTCCCACCCATTTTAGGGGCTCTGGCTCATTCTGGACCTATTCCCTAGGAAAGTCCAAAGCAATGGGACTCAGCTGAGGCTGTGAAGGCTGGCCTGATAGGGCCTCCTTGGGGTTCTTAAACCTGTTACTGGGTGGTTATCTTTGCCAGGGCTTTTGGTGACCAGATAGCAGGTATGCACCCCCCCTCCCCCATCCTCCTCACTCTGGGCAGCCTAAGAAGATGCTAAGAAGTGATGGGGTGGGTGGGGAGTCAGGCTTTTCTCCCACTCATTAACATTTCCCACTGGAATGTCACAAACACCACTGTGGGTGTTGGATGCTAAACTGTGTGCTGAGGCTCCAGATGATGACAGGCAGGACAGAGGTCTGGGCAGTGCTCAGAGGGGCAGAGGACCTCATGCACTCATGGGCTTAAGTCTGGCTCAACCACTCTCCAGCAGTGTGCCCTTGGGCAAATCACTGAACTTCTTTGTTGAATGAGGAAGATGACTTACCTCCTGAGGTTGCTTTGATAAATTAGACAGTGTTTATAAATGAGGTGGCACATGTCTGGTATATGACGGTGTTTGGGTAATGGGAGCTGTTACTATTTACTTGTTGTTGGCTTTATTGGTCTTGCACCTGTCCAATTTTAGAGCTCCTTGAGAGCAGCATCTGATGCAGACTTCTCTCTTGACTATTCATCCTTTTCCGGACCCTCCCAGGGACCAGTCTGGCTGGGACAGACACGGTTCACCGGGGTAGGCTATGTTCAGAGCTGCATGATCCAGTATGTTTGCAAGTTAGCCACATGTGGCCAGTTTATTATTATTATTATTTTGGTGGTGCTGGGGGCTGAACCCAGGGCCTTGTGCATTCAAGGCAAGCACTCTACCAACTGAGCTATATCCCAGCCCTCTGGGCAGTCAAATTTAAATTACTTAAGTTTCAATAAAACAAGAACTTGGGCTGGGGATGTGGCTCAAGCGGTAGTGCGCTTGCCTGGCATGCGTGCGACCCGGGTTCGATCCTCGGCACCACATACAAACAAAGATGTTGTGTCCACCAAGAACTAAGAAAATAAATAAATAAATATTAAAATTTTCTCTCTCTCTCTCTCACACACACTCTCTCTCTGTCCCCCTCTCTCTCAAAAACAAACAAACAAACAAACAAGAACTTGGTCATAGAAACTGCCTGTTAGGTGCTTAGGGGCTACATGTGCCTAGCACCTACCCTACTGAACAGCATATGGAATTGTGCAGAACTGGACTGTAAATACTATGGCTCCAGAACCATCCTTGCTGTTGCTTTCAATAGCTGCCAGCTGTCTCTTGATTATAGTTCAGCAGAATGGTTGCAATGACACAGAAACTAAGTTCTGGAGCCCTTCCTGCACTCCCTTTCAGGTAGTCTTGCTCACCTGGAGGTGAGGGTGGCTGGTTTCCTAGTAGTCCTTATCAGTCCAGGGTTGGGAGGGTAGGGCCAGGATTGCCCAAACTGCAGCTATTGCCTTCTACCCTCCCTGTTTCTCCAGCCCATCCTGCCTGGTAAGGAGTTTTTGGAGTGATCTTCCTCATTCATAACTGTGGCCCAGGCTGGCTTGGTCCAGGCACCTTGACACTCTGGGCCCTGCCCAACTCTGAACCCACTGCTTTCCTCATAAACTCAGAATATAAGCCTCTCTCCTTCTGCTGTTCCTTCCATCTAGGCACCTCTCCCTTTCTCTGTGGCCCCAGCTTCCATAAGTCCTCCAGAAAGCCCTTTCTGATCATCTCCAGCTTGCCTTGGCCTAGTCCTCTCTCCGGCCCTGTCTGGGCACTCAGAGTTTTTCTCTGCAGCGTGTCCTTGTATTTGCTTATCTCTTAGTCAAGCATGCAGCAAACATCCTCTGAGTGCCAACTACATGTCAGGTCAGTGCAGGGTGCTGGTCAGATGGCAAGGAACACGTTACAGGCTTGCTCTGCCAAGTCCTGGTTGTTGAGGAGGCTGACAGTCTGCCAGACTGTACCATCGGACCTGATGATGCTCATCCAGGAGTGGAGGCAGCCCAGCTGAGTATCAGGAAAGATTCAGAAAAGGAGACAGTGAGGTGGCAGGGGGCTAGAGTGGACTCTAGGCTGCAGCTGGGTCAGTGAGTGGCTCCAGAGGGCTCTGTGTGGCTGGAGGAAGGGATGGCAGTGGTAGGAAGGGAGGGGTACAAGGAGGATAGAGGCACACGGGAAAGAGGGAGTTGAAATTTTATGGAAGACGTGTCTTATTTTTGGTGTTGGATACACAGCTTTTCTCACTGCTAGACCAAGGTCCTCAGGGCACAGCTAGAACTAAATGAATCCTGTGTTCCCTGGTTCAGATCCTGCCCAGCATGCAGCTGGGAGATGGCTTTGAAATGAATGAGCAAATACCAAGTGAGTCCCATGTGTACAGGGTTGTTAGGCAAAGCTTCTCCTTGCCACTAGCACTAGAGGGGGATACAGGGAATCATATCCCATTTACTACTGCCATGACTGAATCTCAGAGACATGATGGCTCAGCCAAGCCAGAAAGGATGGGGATGGTGTGGGGGGTGCAAGGAGAACCCAGGGTAATTCCCAGTTTGGGTTCTCTTCATTACTCTCTCATCCCACAAATCTCCTCTGAGCCCCACTCTACCAAGGAGGCCCCATACCACAGTGAGATAGATTCTGTCAGTTCCAGCAGCAGGCAGACTAGTATTCTAGTCCAGCTCTCCTGGCTGCTAAAATTCAGCCATAATTTTGTGCTGATTGACCAAGAGCTATTGTCCCAAATTCCCTGCCCCCAATGCCTTTGTCCCATACCAGGGTCCCCACAGACTTGGCCTCTTCCCCGTGTTCCTTCCACTTCCCTTTCCTCCATAATCTATCCAGTAAAAGTCACCAGATGGCAAAATAGGTGAGTGATCTCCTGAGCCCTTCTCCAGAGGTACAGATTATTATATATTTATAGTGTCATTCCTATGGGATGGACTTGATTTGAAGTGTCTGGTGTGATGTCACTGACTTGCTTATGATTCTGACCATTTAATCAGGCTGAGATTAAAGCTGTCTCCCCAGTGTGTGAGCTCAGAGCAGAGTCCAGCTAAGGTGCTGATACCCAGCTCAACTCCTTCCTTCCCCTTTTGTCTCCTGCAGGCAGCCATGAGTTCCAGCCACCCTGAGCCTGAATCCCAGGCACTTCGGAGTCCCCGCACACAGCCACTGTCCCAGAGCTCTTCCAGCCTGCTTTGTGAAGGCCGGGGGCAGAGACCAGAGCTCCGCAAGAGTGCTAGCAGTACTGTGTGGCAGGCCCAACCTGGCAAGGCCAGCACTAGTCCCCAGGCCTTGGTGGAAGAGAGGTGCCAGACTGAGAGCACAGAGCAGGCACAGACCTCAAGCCCCCATCTACGGTCTGGTGCTGTGGGGCACTGGCGAAGCAGCACTGTGGGAAATGTGTCTACAATGGACAGTGGTGACTTGTGTCGCCTGCGGGCCCCCAGTGTGGCTGCCATGCAGAGGAGCCATTCTGATCTGGTCCGTAGCACCCAGACCCGGGGTCACAGCAGTGCTCGGAAGGCTAGCCTCAGCTGCTCAGCCCTCGGTGGCTCACCTGTCCGCAGGGCTCAGCTGCAGCCTGGCAGTATTTCTGACCAGGTTGGCCAGCCACCTACAGGCCTGGAAAGAGAACTGGCTTCAGCAGATGGAACTTCTAACTCAGCCTGGATGCTGGAGGAGAGTCAGGTGTGGGTACCACCACCAGCCCTGGGGGACACAGCTACCCACAGCAGTGGTCCCCAGGCTGGGCCCAAAGCCACAGGGCAGCCAGCTACCGCCTCCTGCCATGCTCTGCCCCCAGCAGCTCTAATCTGCAGCATGAGGGAGGCAGTGGCCAGTGGCTGCTGCCATGCCCTGCCTGCCACAGGGATCTTGGCTTTTCCCAAACTGGTGGCATCAGTGAGCGAGTCTGGGCTGCAGGCTCAGCAGGGGATGAAGTTCCACTGTAAGTTGCCTGGGGGGATTCATAGGCACTCCCACTGTTGTGCCCACCTTTGGGGTCCCACAGGGTTACCCACAGAGCCTGGCTCTAGGACCAAAGATGTATGTACCATGACTTCAGCTAGTGACTTGGGCCCCATGTTGGTATCAGCCCAGGATGCTGGTGTGCAGGCAGCTCCAGTGGCAGCATGCAAGGCTGTGGCTACCAGCCCATCCCTGGAAGCCCCTGTGGCTCTGCACATGTTCCCAGAGGTAACTCTGGGGCCCAACCTGGAAGAGACATCGTCCCCTGTGCGGGATGTGCGGTGGGATGCTGAAGGCATGACATGGGAGGTATACGGAGCATCAGTAGACCCTGAAGTGCTTGGTGTGGCCATCCAGAAGCACCTGGAGATGCAGTTTGAACAGTTGCACCCAGTGCCAGCCAGTGAGGACAGCTTGTCCATTGAGGGCCGGAGGGGCCCGCTGAGGGCCGTCATGCAGTCCCTACGGCGCCCCAGCTGCTGTGGCTGCTCTGGTGCAGCCCCTGAGTGAGGAACTGCATCTCTCGGGCTAGCCTGGCTCATGGACTCAGCCCTATGCCAGGGCCAGGGACAGTGTGGGCCCTGTGCCCCCTGAACCCACTGCAGGTGGGCACATCTTTCATCTGATAAATATTGACTACCTACAGATCACAGAATGCAGCCGGGGCTTCTGGCTTCATGAAGCTGGGCTCTTTTTTAAGGGCTTGATCTCCAAGAGCCACATGTCTGCACATTCCAGGCTCTGAACTTTGGGCCGGGGTTTCTGCACTGTGTAAAAACTAGCTCCTAATTTTTCTGTAAAAATATTCAACCTTCAGTCTGCCCTTGAAAACTTTGTCATGTTTCTCTTAGGTCTGTTGCTTTACTTTAAAGCATTGCTGAGAAATATTGAATTCTTACATTAATTGGTGGGCACAGGGGTTGTCCCAAGTGACAGGGACTTCCTGGGTCTTTAGAGAAGGGAACTTTAGGGAGGGGAAGCAAAGGCCTCCTGTGTGCCATTTACTGTGCTTGGCATCTTACCTTGTTGAGCCTTCATGTCTTTATACCATTCTACAGGGGAAACGACAAGATGTTTGGCAAGGCTCTAGTTGATGTGCCCCAAGTTGGACAGCTGGGAGTGGTGGGCTAGGATTCAAAGCGAGGACTGGCTGAGCCTGGGTGTTTCACTATAGCCTGGTCCAGTTCAGTGCAATTGGATACAGGAAGGATTTATTGAACCCACATTCTGGGTCAAGTTCTGTGGATTTGTGTGAGGAATTATAGGACTCCCCTGCCATGGTATGTGGGGGCTCTGAACATTACAGAAGGGTTGATGAGGCTTTCAAGACAGCCCCCTTGCAGGTCATCATGTCAGGGATTGACCCTATGATATGGAGAAGAGGTGACCACATGCCCTTAAATATGTTGTAGAGCCTGAAATTGCTCTATTATCATCTTGTTCCTTTGTCTTAGATTTATTCCCAGCTGGTGCAGTTCTTCAAGGAGGGAGGGCAGGAATAGATAGGGGCAGGGAGGGAGACTGGCTGTGGGCCCTGTGCTGGGGCCTCCCACCTGGTAAGAAAATGCTGGAGGTGGTGGGGCTGGGGACACCTTTTGAGCCTGTTTGTCTAGTCTTGCCCATGTGACCTGACTTGGGCCAGGGGAATTGGGTCTGGGGAGGGAACACTAGGGCCTTTCACAGCTGTCTTCATCAACCTAAGGACTTCTTGAGGCTTGTGGAGGATGGAATGGATTGTGTCTATCCTGGTACTTGGTGTTGAAGATCCTAAGCTCCTAAAATAGAACCCTCAGGCCACCCTATGTGGGAGCCAAAGGGTTAGGGTGGTGTCAGGGTCACTGACCTGGCCCTGTTCCTGGGCTTCTTATATATTTAGGAACATAGGACTCAAAAGCTGGTTTACTGTCCCTTCTCTTAGGACCCAATACTCACTGAAGTGAGAAAAACTCCTGCAATGATGGCTCAGGTTTTTAAACAGGGTTGGCATTCCAACAGGCCAAAGAAACAGGCGAGGAAGGCGTGCTTTAGGTCAGAATGCCTTCTGAAGCCTTATGAAGTGGCATTCATAACTTGAAATGTGCCTTTCCATGTAAGCATGTACCTTTTCAGGTAACTCATGTTCTGGAGTGTGGCATAGGGGTACCATGCCTCCTTTGTTTCTGGTCCTGCACAGGGGTTCCAGTACCCCCTGCCCAGGGGAGGGGGAAATGGTTGTAGGGATATGAGGGAGCAGTACAGGGCCACAGTTGAGCATGGTCTTGACACAAAAGGGCTGGGAAGGTGAGTGGAGTTGGGGCAGCAAGAGGCTTGGAGGTAACTGCCCTGCATGTCCATGGTGCATGAATTATAGAGGCTCAATTGGGGTGTTCATTGGGTTAGGAGGCTGGCTAGGGCGTCCTCATTTTGAAGTTCTTGGTATGACTGAGGAAAGGGACTTTAGGGCAATAGAGAATAGGTGGGGCTACCTGTCCCCTAATATGTTGCAGTGCCTGAAATTGTACCATTATCATCTCATTCCTTTGGCTTAAGCAATGAGTGAAAGGGGTGGGTGGGGAGACCAGATTCCAATTTAGAAATATCCCTTTGGCTACCTGTAGAGGAGAGATTTGGCATCTGAGTGGCAGAACATAGGATCCCAGAGAGTGGGGACACTTAGGAGGGGCCTGTTAAGGGGGAGGAATGGGTAGGTGGGGACTATTCACACATGTGTGCAGTTGATCTGGGGAGGAGGAGGAGGAGTTCTGGAAGGCTGAGGTTCTTCCAGATTGGGAAAGAGAAGGGTGAGGCTGCTCCCTTGGACAAAGACAGACTCAGGAGGGGCAGGGGAAGGGCCCCACACTACAGAGTTTTGCTGAGAGCAGTGAAACCCGCTTCATGAAGAGACCTTCACTTCATCGTATGCAAATTACATGAATTCACCAGTAAGCAGAGGTGTGCCAATTTACAGCAAGCACCTCCGCACTACAAGATGGCAGGCCAGGCTGGGCCCTGCATGGGACAGGCCAGATAAAGCACCCACTTACCTCACTGAGACTGAGATAAAGGTTTGCAGGGTGGTGCTGGAATCTAGCCCCATCTGTATCCTGAATAGGGCCCCCAAAACACTCTTCTAGTTAAACCACATCCTTGGTCTCACCAGCTGAGCTTTGCCATTAGGTGGAGCAATTTCTGAACTTAATTAATTTATGAACTGGGCCCAGAGACCTATCCTGGCCCTTAGATTAGCCTCCTCCTGGCCAGGCCTTATGCCTATAGTGGTTCAGGGCTACAGAGCTTGACCACTGATTTCATTTACAGATCTCCACTTCCCGGTTTCTAGTTCCCTTTCAGGTCTGGCTCTGGGAAGTGCTGGATTTCATTGTCCATGTGTTTGTTTTGTTTTAAATTCAAAATAAATACAAGTTGGAAGAAGAGAGGTTTGCCAGGCCTGGCGGGATAGGGGAATTGGTATTGACTGGTTGTACTTGGTCCTTTGAAGCAAACCCCAGAGTTCTAAAGCTCCCTGCCCTGGCAGGAATCTACCTTTTGTCTTCTCCAGGGACTTCTTCCTTCTTTCCACTGGCTTTCCTTCTATGGCAGCCTGGGCCTCTGACACGGAAGCCTGGCCTCCTTGGGCTTCTCAACTCTGGGTCTGCCAGGACACAGAGATGCATCTCCCCTCTGACCTCAGGCTGTAATTGTCCTTCTAAGGAACTGCTCCAATAGGGGAGGATCTGTTCCTGTTGGGATGCAGGCTTCTGCTGGCTGAGGGGCAATGGATATGGTCCTCTTCCACTGTGATGTCACCTCTGTGTCAGCTGGTTTAGGTCTCTGAACCCTGGATATACTAGATTATTATTTGACAGGGTTTGAAAGGGCCTTGTCCATGAAGATCCTAACATTTTAGACTTGGAGCAGGCCACCATAGCTTTGTGGTCTAAAGCTGGAGTTTGAGCCCTGGATCCACACTGATAGCCATGAGTTTTGGGGCAAGTTTTGGAGTCCCTAAACTTCCTCAGCTGTAAAACTGGGATGATAATAGTGCCTTCTTCATAGGCTTGTGAGGATTTTAAGTGGGATAACCTATGTACAACACCTGGCTCTGAGTGAGCGATCCACATGTGTACTGATGGTGTTGCATGGTGTGCCACGGCCCTAGGGAGTCCAGCTCTTCCCCTACCAGCTTGGTTCTGATCACAGTCCACATTCCATTTATTTAAAACCTATTTATTCAAAGGCACTTCTGAATAAGGTTCTTCATCTTCAGCTTTTCACCCTACTTGGGGCACATACCTTCTGGCTGGAGGTCTCTGAAAATGTGGTACCCTAAGTTGTATCAAGGAGGACCACTCTTTCCCTAACTGCTAGTCTGGGGATAAGATCCCAGAAGCTCATGTCAAGATGAGGATTATGAGGAGTGGGGAGAGCATGATAGGGAAGGACAGAAGTCAAATGAAAATGTGACTTCAGGCCAAGCCAAGTCCCACATGGGAGTCGCGGGGTGCAAACTCTGTGTTAGGGCCACTCAGGGGTAGGGGGTAGCCTCTAGGCACTTCTGGTGCCCTTTGGCATGCAGGCTGGAAGGTTGCAGGAGTTCCAGGGTAGGTCTCTGGGTGAAGCTGGGGGGCTTATTCCAGAGGAAGTGTACACAGGAACTATCAAAGGGAGTCACAGGTATCTGGGGTGCACCCACTGACAGGTACCTTTATATTGCAAGCAGCTTATCACCCAACACATATATGGGGCTTGTGGCCCACAAAATGCCCAGACCTTTACTTCTGTGAGTTGCTCAGAAACAATTCTCATTTGTGTTTGTGCCAGGTGATGTTGGTTAGTTAAATGCAGAGCTTGGAATTTGCCCATGTTCAGTTCCTTCTCATTTGTTATTTTGGCCTGGCCCAGATTTGTTATCGAAAGCTATGACTAGTCTTATGCCAGTTTTCATCTAACTTGTCAGGCAGGGAAGGGCCTGTATGAGCCTGGAATAAATATGTCACTGGGTTATCCTGTAGGTCCCTGGGGCCTCACAAATCCACAAGGTCATTGTGGACAAATTTGTTCAAGGCAAATATGTTAAAATCCAGATCTTCAACATCAGTAGGCCTTCTCACCTAAAGCACAGTCCAGGGACCCTCTCCATCAAACAAGGAAGGAGGAGGGTGTGGCCTGACTTGGTCCTTAGTCTCAGCAACACTGGTTGGTGATTGCTGCTTCCCTCCCCCTGATTTGACTGTTCTAGAAGTTTGAGACCAAAAACAAGCTAAGATTTGCAGATTCTACCTATTTGTCCTTTAGGGGTTGGGAGTGGCCCCACCCTCACTCTTGGCTTCCCCAAAAGCCCCATCAAAGGCTGTTTCTAGCACATGGGGGCTTACCTGCCAGCTTTCAGGGAGGTGACCCTTAGGGTCAGAAGATTTAGGCTCCTTGCAGCTGTTCTTTAGTAACCTTCACTTTTCTCACCCTTTTTGTTGGGGTCTTTCCAAAGCTGAGTGTGTGTGTGTGTGTGTGTGTGTGTGTGTGTGTGTGTGTGTGTGTGTGTGTGTGTTGGGGGGGGGATCTCCCTTCAGACTGGGAGGATATGGAGATGGTTCTGTTGCTGTGGTTACAGAGAAATAATAAACCAGGAAAAGCATCTGGAGAAAGTTGATGTTTGTTAAAAAGCCAAGCCAAACCAGAGTGGCATGAGCTGATGGGAGTGTGGGTGAACGGGTGGGGTCTGACTTTCTTGTCCCCACATGCCACCTTCGCTAATTTGAATAGTGACTCTGCAGGACTCATGCCAAATCTCTCCCCCTCTAAGCCTGTGACAACTCAGCAAAGAGGCAAATCTGGGCCTCTAAACATGAACTCTACAAATGGATACTCTAAAATTCATTTTTCCCTGCTTCATCAGGAGGGAATGTGAA